ACTCTGGGGAAGCCCAGCTCTCCAAAAGACTTTATACATGTTTATTTTAGAGCTCTGGTTTGATTGGCTCTGGAGCTTCATTGCCCTGAAATTTGAAGGAAGATGAGAGTATTTATACACTTTGGGATCAAGAAGGAGCTGTGCTTGGATACAGAGAATTAACGTAATCTTTGGAGATGTTGCATTTATAGTCCATGTTTCTGAAACTTTGAGAACTTGAAAACAAGTATTTAATGGCACCATTAGCCTTCACCTCAAGTCTTTCTCAAACTTCTATCAACGCAACTCTTATCCAAACTACCTTTGAGTCTATTCAGGAGGAAACACAAGGCCAAATTCTTGTTTGGCAGGAGTATTAACGCCCTACCATGGAAAATAGTGGAAGTTACTGCCTTGTAAAAATGTTTTGAAAAATAAAAGTCCAGAGTGAGGGCAGTACCCTTCTCAGAGACAGGGAAGTGAACACAATGATCTCTAGGATGAAAGAGAGTTGGTGGGGCTGGCTGGGAAAGCAAGACAGGCTACAATTTAGGGAATGGATTGTTGGATTTGACAGGAGTTCTTCCAGGCAACATGGGATGGAATTTTTGTTTTGAAGTTTGGAAGGAGCTCAGAGACTGATATAAACACAGGGAGAAGGAGTGAAGGAAGGGCAAGCTGGAGGCATTATGGAATTCATATATGCTGCCTTTATGTTCCATGGCCCCTCTCTGCATTTCTTGAACAACCTCCCCTGTGGTAAGCACCTCTTTTGGGAGAAATTGTTTCCTACTTAAACTGAGATTCACAGGCCCAGGGCCTTCATTTGCAAAAGTCCTCTGGATATTCTTGAAATAGATAATAGTGGACGTTCTAGTCTCTTGTTTATACTTCTATTTGGCCCTTTCTCTCTTTCCAAAAAACCCCAAACAACCTTTCAGAAGAAAGATTCCTAGAAAGGAATCTCAAGATATAGTAGTTAAAATGTACATCTATATATTCATTTTCTCTGTCCTAAATGCCTCTTTTGGTTTCTTGATACAATTATGAGCATATCCTTGTCCTGGGTAGTGAAGATTGGAGATGGGAGTGTGGAATCCAGAATGAAGATGCATATAGTTCCTGGCCCATTGTTCTGGAAGCTTTTAGACTATTAAGGCATTTAAGGAACACATTAATGACACTATCTGACAGAAAGCAAAAGTTAGTTTCAGGAGACCATCAGGACAGGCTATAAGTGCTGATGGGAAGGAGAGGAAGGCTGGAGATGAGGATCAGTTAGGATGGCTTAGGAAAGCCTTCAAAATGCAGGTTGGGGAAAGGTTGTAGAATATGGCTGAGAGAGTCTGCAGGGTCAAGATAGGACAAAAAGGAGTGAGGAGGGCATCCCTTTCTTTGTTCCGTGAAGTGAGAACCTCTGCCTTATGGCATCCTACTTGTATTATAGAGCTTGAGCATGACATCTTCCAAAAGTATGGACTCTCTAACTGGGCATGGGTGGTTGGTTGCCTATAATCCAAGGCATCCTGATATTCTTTTTTAAATAATAAATTTATTTTTTATTGGTGTTCAATTTACCAACATACAGAATAACACCCAGTGCTCATCCCGTCAAGTGCCCCCCTCAGTGCCCGTCACCCATTCACCCCCACCCCCCCCGCCCTCCTCCTCTTCCACCACCCCTAGTTCGTTTCCCAGAGTTAGGAGTCTTTATGTTCTGTCTCCCTTTCTGATATTTCCCACACATTTCTTCTCCCTTCCCTTATATTCCCTTTCACTATTATTTATATTCCCCAAATGAATGAGAACATACACTGTCCTTCTCTGATTGACTTATTTCACTCAGCATAATACCTTCCAGTTCCATCCACGTTGAAGCAAATGGTGGGTATTTGTCGTTTCTAATGGCTGAGTAATATTCCATTGTATACAGAGACCACATCTTCTTTATCCATTCATCTTTCGATGGACACCGAGGCTCCTTCCACAGTTTGGCTATTGTGGACATTGCTGCTACAAACATCGGGGTGCAGCTGTCCTGGCGTTTCATTGCATCTGATTCTTTGGGGTAAATCCCCAGCAGTGCAATTGCTGGGTCGTAGGGCAGGTCTATTTTTAACTCTTTGAGGAACCTCCACACAGTTTTCCAGAGTGGCTGCACCAGTTCACATTCCCACCAACAGTGTAAGAGGGTTCCCTTTTCTCTGCATCCTCTCCAACATTTGTGGTCTCCTGCCTTGTTAATTTTCCCCATTCTCACTGGTGTGAGGTGGTATCTCATTGTGGTTTTGATTTGTATTTCCCTGATGGCAAGTGATGCGGAGCATTTTCTCATGTGCTTGTTGGCCATGTCTATGTCTTCCTCTGTGAGATTTCTCTTCATGTCTTTTGCCCATTTCATGATTGGATTGTTTGTTTCTTTGGTGTTGAGTTTAATAAGTTCTTTATAGATCTTGGAAACTAGCCCTTTATCTGATAGGTCATTTGCAAAGCATCCTGATATTCTTAAACAAGTGTCCTCAAAGGCAAGCAATTCTTTATCACTTATGTGTGGTTTATACTTGCCATAAATTATGTATGGTCAAGGTTATCACAGTTATGTTCCCCTTCTCATTATCCATTTTGCTCACCTTCCACAAGAAATCTAGTTATGTATATCTTTACCTGATCCAGGTTTATAAAGTTTCCTTGGCTATGAAATCTTTACTTCAATGTGTAGTAGATAGGCATTCTGGATTACGGGCTCTTTCTTTCTCTTCTTGGTGTGGTCATTTGTTCCACACATACTTATTGAGCACCTACCTCAAAGTCTGATGGAGGAGACTTGTAGCTGACCTGGAATTTGGATACAGTAGGATCAATGGAACATGGGGAAGCCCCAGTGCTTTAAAAACACAAAGGAATGGCAGCATTAGGATCAGGGGAGGTTTCTTGGGGAAGCACTCTTGAGCTGGGAACTGAAAGAGAAGTTGGGGGGTAGGTAAGTGAAGGGGCCACGAAGGTATTAGAGGGAAGAGAAGAGGGTGAGTGTAGGATTTCACAGCTGCGGTAGGAACTGGGCAGGGGGAGAGGCTGGAGGAATAAGCACAGGTTGGATGATGAAGGAAGGAAGGGCTATGAAGGAAAGGTAGTAGTGGGAACCATGGAAGGGTCTGAAGCCTGGGGGTGTGTGTGAGATACCTCAAATAATGTAGAAAGATTCCATAAGTTAAGAACTGAGCCTCCTTATCTATCTCATGTGCTTGTTGTTAATCATAACATTGGAACTGGTGAGTGGTAAATAAGGAGTCTAGATGGATTTGCAGAGTGAAGGCCTCACCCATAACCCAGGATCATCAATTTTGACTTGAATTTTCTGTCTTTAAAACCCTCTGACAGCATTTCCTAAAATTATCTCAAAACAAAAGGCTGAATAGAAAGGAGAGTGGGGACTGCATGACTGTTCTTTCTGTTCTCCACTACTCATTTCTGGGGCTTTTCTGTGAATTGTTCACCTAAAACCTTGCTCCCCTTGAGAAGGGGACCATTTGAATAGCAAAAGGGGATAAAAGGGAATAGGGAACCACATTCAGGATTCCCTCATTAAGAAAACATTCAGACAACAGTTTGAGTGTTAACAATAACTCCTTGTGAAAAATTAATAGTGACATGTGAGTGTCTTAATACAAGCTCACAGAGCAGGACAGGGTCTTCAGGCCCCTGGCAGCTGACATCATAGATGGCACAGGGTGTGTACAGAGAGCACAGTGTGGCCAGTGAGGAGAGGAAGTGAGCTCACCTCTCTCCTGGAACCCAGAGAGGAAGGAGACAGGGAATTGTTTAGGTTGTGAGCCACTGAACCAGGTGACTCATTTCTTTTCTCCCTACCCATCACACTCATAATTGTGGACATAAAAATGGTAGTGAATTTTGCTTGGGTGCTTTGGCTGAGGTTTATTGAATGTTAGAATTCACAAAACCACCTTCCTGGCTCCTCTCCCTTCTCAGTCCCGGACCTGGGGTGGTGCTTCCCCGATTTCTCCAGTGTTTCTTTCCCATTCAGCCTGGTCCTCTCCTTCTTGCAGGTGGTTATGAAGGCCTTGCTCCTTTGTCCCTCCTACTCTCTGTTCACAGCACCCTTGTGGTCCTAGGTGGGTAAAGGGAAGGGGTGGACTGTACATTCTTGGCCATCACTACAGCTGAATGGATGATGCAAAATGAGGAGAAGTGAGGGCAAAATAACATCTAATCTTGGGTAGTACATTTTGAGGCTAAGAGCCTTAAGACAGAGAGACCAATATATATATTTTAAACTCTGATTATATATAAAGAGTCTGTAATTGCAACGAGGCCCTGTAGTCGACAATTAATGTGTCGTAACTCATTCTTAAGCACTGTGCACACATCCTAAGTGTGAATCCTTGCACAATAGATACATGCCCTATTGTGTCTTACCTCCTAATTAGTATATGAAGCTACATGACTTATGAACTCAAATGGGATTATATCATGTTGTATGTAAAAAAGGAGAATGCTGGGATGCCTCAGTGGCTCAGGTGAATGAGAGTATGATTTTTGATATAAGCTTATGTCTTGATCTCTGGATTGTTAGCTCCGGCCCTATATTGGGCTCCACGCTAGGCATGGTACCTACTGAAAAATAAAATTTAAAAAAAAGTGGAACATTGGGAGGTCTTTGGTACTTTTTCTGAGGGGAAAGCAGGATTGATTTTTCTATGATTTTTCTATCTTTTAGTGTCAGTTCCTGTGATACTTGGGCTGTAACAAGTTACATGCAACTTTTGGGTTTTGGTTGGTTGATTAAACATCATTGTTCAGTACGTATTTATTGCTTCCGTAGGCATTATGGAAGGATACCAGAAGAAATATGAAGCAGACGCTTTGAAGCCTGAACAATAGACCTCGGCAGCCCCAACCCAACTTGGCTTAACTCAGCCTCAATGAACCAGACCCAATACTCTTGGCTCCTTGGCCTTGCTACAACTCTCTGATCCTTAGAATCTTCTTCAATTCCAGCTAGAATGGTGTGTCAGGCTCTTCAGAAATTTTTTCAAAAGCTGGTGCACAGACCTGAGGTGAAGAAACTGGGCGATAAAGATGAGCAAGTCAGAAGCCTGAACACTCTGGATTTAGTGGCCATGGGTTTGGACTACACAGTGGATATGAGTGTGTATTTCCTGGCTAGTGTGGTGGCTAGAGATCAAGCAGGACCATCCATCGTGATCAGCTTTTTGGTAGCTGGCCTAGCTTCACTGCTGGCTGGGCTGTGCTATGCAGAGTTTAGTGCTCGGGTTCCCCACTCTGGCTCTTCATATCTCTATACCTATGTCACTGTAGGTGAACTTGGGGCTTTTGTCACTGGCTGGAACCTCATCCTCTCCTTTTTTGCCTATACAGCTATTGTGATCCGTGTCTGGACCTTAGCTTTAGACAACGTTTTCAAGATCCAGAACTCTCAGACTCTGGATGGGAGCATCGTATCACATGTTTCTCGTGTCTTTGCAGAAAATCTAGGTCTCTTCTTTGTGGGCCTTCTGTTGTTGCTCGTGGAATTGCTAACCCAGAACATTAGTCAGCTTTCCCTAGTTGCCAAAGTGTTCACAACATTGAACATTTTGGTTGTCAGTTTTGTCACCATCTCTAGCTTCATGAAGGGGGACCTGCACAACTGGAAGCTCACAGAAGAGGACTACATAAATTCTGGACTCAGTGACACCTCTAGCTTGGGCCTTCTGGGCTCTGGAGGATTCGTGCCTTTTGGCTTCCAGGGGATTCTCCGTGGAGCTGCTACTTGTTTCTATGCATTTATAGGTTTTGAATATATTGTTGCCCAAGTGCAAAAAGCTAAGAATCCTGAGCATTCCATCCCCAGGAGCATTTTTATCTCATTGTTCATCTGTTTTTTAATGCATTTTGGTGTCTCTGTAGCACTTACGCTTATGGTGCCTTACTACCAGCTCCGACCTGGAAGTACCTTGCCTGAGGCATTTCTCCATATTGACTGGGTCCCTGCCTACTATGCTGTAACTTTTGGATTTTTCTGTAGTCTTTCTGACAGCTTCTTGGGCTATATGTTCCCCATAGGTGAGGTGATACACATGATGGCAAAGGATGGCCTCCTGTACCCTGTCCTTGCCAGGATCCAAACTGGCAAATACACACGCACTGTGGCCACTGTGATCATCGGCATTACTGCAGCAGTCATGGCATTTTTTCTTGGACTCACAGATCTTTTGGACCTCATGTCAGTTTGGGCCCTGCTAGATTACTCCCTGGTAGCTTTTTGTGTTCTCATTGTCAGGTATCAGCCTGAGAGGAAGAATGGGGAAAATGAAGCACAGGTGCAAGAGGAGAATGAGGGAAACGAAGTTACTTGTGGTCTCATCCCCAGGTGTCAGCCTGAGAGGAGAAATAAGGGAAATGAAGGAGAGATGCAGGAGGAGAATGAAGGAAATAAAGTGCAGGTGCAGGAGGAGAATGAGGGAAATGAAGTGCAAGTGCAGGAGGAAAATGAGGGAAATGAAGCACAGGTTCAACAGGAGAAAGGATCTGCAGCAGAGAAGCTAACTCCACAGGGACTATTTTTTCCAGGCAGCCCCACCCCCACCCCACTCTCTGGCCGGGTTGTCTCTGTTTGCTCCTCACTGCTTGCTCTGCTGCTGACTCTTCTCTGCCTGGTGCTGACCCAGTGGTCAGGTCTGCCTTCTGGAGACCCAGGATGGATCACAGTGGTTGTGCTGCTCCTGGTGGTCATCACTGGGATCACTGGGATCATCTGGAGACAGCCACAGAACACTACTCCTCTTCACTTTCAGGTACCTGGTCTGCCTCTCCTCCCACTCCTGAGCATCTTTTTGAATGTTTGCCTTATGATGCAGATGACCGCTGGCACCTGGGCTCTATCTGGTGTCTGGATGCTGATTGGGTTTGTAATCTACTTCAGCTATGGGATCCAGCAGAGCTTTAAGAATACAAACAGTAGGGACAGCCCCAGTGGCGCAGAGGTTTAGCACCGCCTGCAGCCCGGGGTGTGATCCTGGAGACCTAGGATTGAGTCCCCCATCAGGCTCCCTGCATGGAGCCTGTTTCTCCCTCTGCCTGTGTCTCTGCCTCTCTCTCTCTCTCTCTCTCTCTCTGTGTGTGTGTGTCTATGAATAAATAAATAAAAATTTAAAAAAATCATTAAAAAAAGAATACAAACATTAGACCTTGAATTCGGCAGTGCCAATACATATTTGGCTTGACATCATCGCACCTGAAAGCAGTATGGTTCCCTACGCAGTAATGGGAAGCACTCCTGAATGTATGGAAATCTAGAGTTCCTATCAGATATTTGTGGGGAACACTAATAGAGCTCTATATTTATGATAGAAAGAAGGATGTGTCTTTGCTCTTTCTGTTTTTTTTTTTTTTTACTTTCTACTTTTCAATTTTGTCTATAGCTGCTTATTGGCTTTTACAAAGTTAATGTTAAATGAAATTTGAAAAAGTGTTTTCTTTGAGAAACACTACCTATCTTACTAAAGCTGTTATGAAAGATAGAAAGGGATGGAATACTTCCAAACTCGTTCTATGAGGTCAGCATCACCTTAATTCCAAAACCAGACAAAGACCCCACCAAAAAGGAGAATTATAGGCCATATCCCGGAGGAACACAGTTGCAAAAATTCTCAACAAGATACTAGCCAATAGGATCCAACAATACATTAAGAAGATTATTCATCATGACCAAGTGGGATTTATCCCTGGAATGCAAGGGTGGTTCAACACTCGTAAAACGATCAAGGTGATAGATCATATCAACAAGAGGAAAAAACAAGAACCATATCATCCTCTCAATAGATGCAGAGAAAGCATTTGACAAAATAGGGCATCCATTCCTGATCAAAACTCTTCAGAGTGTAGGGATAGGGGGAACTTTCCTGAGCATCTTAAAAGCCATCTACAGAAAGCCCACAGAAAATATAATTCTCAATGGGGAAACACTGGGAGCCTTTCCTCTAAGATCAGGAACAAGACAAGGATGTCCACTCTCACCACTGCTATTCAACATAGTACTAGAAGTCCTAGCCTCAGCAATCAGACAACAAAAAGAAATAAAAGGCATTCGAATTGGCAAAGAAGAAGTCAAACTCTCCCTCTTCGCCAATGACATGATACTCTACATAGAAAACCCAAAAGCCTCCACCCCAAGATTGCTAGAACTCATACAGCAATTCGGCAGTGTGGCAGGATACAAAATCAATGCCTAGAAATCAGGGGCATTTCTATACACTGAGTCTGAAGAAAGAGAAATTAAGGAATCAATCTCATTTACAAATGCACCCAAAAGCATAAGATACCTAGGAATAAACCTAACCAAAGAGGTAAAGGATCTATACCTTAAAAACTGCAGAACACTTCTGATAGAAATTGAGGAAGAGACACAGAGATGGAAAAATATTCCATGCTCATGGATTGGAAGAATTAATATTGCGAAAATGTCAATGCTACCCAGGGCAATTTACACGTTTAATGCAATCCCTATCAAAATACCATGGACTTTCTTCAGAGAGTTGGAACAAATAATCTTAAGATTTGTGTGGAATCAGAAAAGACCCTGAATAGCCAGGGGAATATTGAAAAGAAAACCAGAGCCGGGGGCATCACAATGCCAGATTTCAAGTTGTACTACAAACCCGTGATCATCAATACAGTGTGGTACTGGCACAGAAACAGACATATAGATCAACAGAACAGAAGAGAGAACCCAGAAATGGGCCCTCAACTCTATGGTCAACTAATATTTGACGAAGCAGGAAAGAATGTTCACTGGAAAAAGGACAGTCTCTTCAATAAATGGTACTGGGAAAACTGGACAGCCATGTGCAGAAGAATGAAACTAGACCATTCTTTTACACCATACAGAGATAAACTCAAAATGCATGAAACATCTAAATGTGAGACAAGAATCCATCAAAATCCTAGAGGAGAACATAGGCAACACCCTTTTTGAGGTGTTGAAGTTTGGCCACAGCAACTTCTTGCAAGATACATCTATGAAGGCAAGGGAAACAAAAGCAAAAATGAACTATTGGGACTTCATAAAGATAAGAAGCTTTGGCACAGCAAACAAACAGTCAACAAAACTAAAAGACAACCTACAGAATGGAAGAAGATATTTGCAAATGACCTATCAGATAAAGGACTAGTATCCAAGATCTATAAAGAATTAAATTCAGCGTCAAAGAAACAAAAAATCCAATCACGAAATGGGCAAAACACATGAACAGAAATTTAACCAAAGAAGACATAGACATGGCCAACAAGCACATGAGAAAATGCTCTGCATCACTTGCCATCAGGGAAATACAAATCAAAACCACAATGAGATACCACCTCACACCAGTGAGAATGGGGAAAATTAACAAGGCAGGAAACCACAAATGTTGGAGAGGATGTGGAGAAAGGGGAACCCTCCTGTACTGTTGGTGGGAATGTGAACTGGTGCAGCCACTCTGGAAAACCTCCTTTGTGGAGGTTCCTCAAAGAGTTAAAAATAGATCTGCCCTACGACCCAGCATTTGCACTGCTGGGGATTTACCCCAAAGATACAGATGCAGTGAAAAACCAAGACACCTGTACCCCAATGTTTATAGCAGCAATGTCCACAATAGCCAAACTGTGGAAGGAGCCTCAGTGTCCATTGAAAGGTGAATGGATAAAGAAGATGTGGTCTATGTATACACCATGTGTGTAGATGAGGGGGGAGGAAACAAAGACGTCCTTTGAACACACACCTTCATTTAATGTAGCATTTAGATTAAAATGCCATTATTAATTTTTTCACAGAGGGAAATCTCTATTGATAATCATGACACAGAGACAGACGATTGGATCATCAGCTGTAGAAGTGCAGCCTATTGGCTTGCTAATCCTGTATCACTAGATTAGACAGACTTACTCCTCATCATAAATACTGCTGAGTATCCCTCACCTGCCATCACAGAAGAGTCTGCTTTAATTAGTTTTTCTCCTGTATGAGCAGGTTGGATTGCATGTGTCCAGTGGTCAGGTGTGTTCTGGACAAAATAAGAGAGCTAACAAAAAGTTGAAAGAAGCTAAGCTGGGTATGCTCCATGTTATGTCTTCACTTCATTAATCAAGGTCACAGAGAGCCAGGTGAAGAGAGGCCAGTAGTAGTACTCTGCTTAGTGGTGCTCAGACATCATGGGGTGCCATGATACCTGGAGGACTCGTGAAAAGAGATTGCTAGAGCATTGTCCCCAGTGTTTGAAATTCAGGAGGTGGGGTTGGAATTCAGAACTTATATTTCTAACAAGTTCCCAGGTGATGCTGCTGCTGCTGCTGCTGCTGGTCTAGGGACACACTTTAAAAACCAAAGATCCAGCTGAAGCCCCTCCATGTGTGTTGATGAAGGAGGGAAACAAAGGCATTCACTCACCTTCATTTAATGCAACATTTAGATTAAAGTGCCATTATTAATTCTTTCACAGAGGGAGGAAATATAAATGAATCATTTCACAATTACATGTATATCAAAATGTGTACTTTAAGTATCTTACAATTTTGTCAATTGTACCTGAAGAAATCTGAAATAAAAAATAGCATACCGGTTATCTGTGTATCTTTCTTTTCTTCTTCTTCTTCTTCCTTTTTTTTTTTTTTTTTTGTCCTGACTCTAGATCATAGGTAAAGAGTGTCACCTGTTCACTTCCTAGGGCATCCAGCTGGTGGCCAGGCATACAATGGGCATTTAATAAATTCATGTTAAATTAAATTGAGCCTTACACATTTCCTCGGTCCCGAAAATTCTCTCCTTTCCTTCATACTAATAATATCGTGCTACTTCTTTAAGGCTGTCTTCTGGGGGACTTCCTTGACAAACCGCATTTCTTTCCATCCAGAACCGTATCCGTACTCAGCAGCTAGAACTGTCCCCAGGCACTTGTAGTTTTGCCGATGTGTGACTATGCCTGAGTTCTGGTGACTGTCCTGTCTGTTCCATTACAGTGGAATCATGCTCAGGACCAGGGATAGGTTCTCCCCTTCCTCTAGACCCAGCGGTAAGCAGAGTGTTCATTCAAAGAACAACAGGGAAAATAAGTCCTGGGGCAGGAGGATGCCTGATATAATATTCCTTGGTCCTGCTCTATCCCTTCCCACGGGATGTGGGAGGGGGATCGAAGGAGTGAAAATTGATAGAAACCCAACCTACTCTACCTGACTCCAGGGAGTCCCTGGAGATGAGACTGGCTCCAGTGTGAGCACAACATGCATCCTTCTTGATGCATCAGTTTTATGCTTTGGTATATGAGGGCCAGTGTTTTTCTGCTGTAATTATGTATGGGGCCCACGCTGGGAGGGAGGGAGGGAGGGAAGCTACTTTCTTACTTGCTGAATTTCTCCTCTTCCTAACAGGAAGTAGGTGGCTGCAGGGAAAATCATTCGAGGCAGGATTACCCATATATTTACTTACTACTTTAGATCCTTCTTTGAGAGACTGGTACAAAAACCTTGTTAGAGCATCTATGATTCTTTAGGGAAAGAGAATTGATACCCCACATATGTAGAAAAATGGACAAAATAGATGATAATTGGATAGGAATGGAGGCATCATTACTCTGGAAGGGAAGGTATGAGTAGAAACAGAGAGAGGTATTGGTCAAGAGACACTTCCTGGAGGTGGGTGCTTATGGAGTAATTTGGGAAATAGAAGAGGGGCAGGTGAGTTGGAAAGGAAAAGGGACAGTAATTCTAGGCTACACAGATCCTAAGAGTCATGAAAGATGAGACTCCTGTGAGGGGTGTGTTTTCTCACATTTGAAGGGAATTTATGCTTCAGGTTTTATTGTGTATTGTGCCATGGAGCATGGTTTCTGACCCAGGAAGGATGAGATATGATTCTCACACCCATCTGGAGGATAGACAGAGAGTAGGTTATGGATAGAGAGGCTCTTCTTCCTGGGAGACAGTTTGTAGCACCAGCTACAGTCCTAGATCCCACTCTTCAGAGTGTGGTCCATGGACCAGTAGCATGGGGGTCACCTGGGAGCTTGTTGGAAACGCAGAATCTCAGACCCCAACCCAGACCTCCTGCATCAGAATCTGCATTATTAACAGGCTCCCAAGTGATCTGCATGCTCTTTCAGCTTTGGGAAGCTCTGGCCTGAGATGATGGATGACAGGTGTCTGGGCTCAGATGAGCACTAGGGAAGGTCTGACAACTTTGGAATTGGGAGCA